CCTCTTCCCCTCCTCCCTAAAAATCAGTTGCAGATCCCCTGTAGCCTCTTTAATCTATTATTTCTACTTTGGGGCAATCCCCCATTTTTATTTTCTAAGACAGCTTGTGCTGCCATTTTAGGAGGTAATATTTCCTTTGCAGTATGACAACTACTACTTTTTTCCCTTTTCCCCTTAAAATCAAGGCAGGAAACATGGTTTGTCCCCAAATATCTGCAAGCACTATTATTACCCAGGCAAATACCAAAGTTCTATATAGGTATTTACTGTCCAGGAAGTTTCCTGTACGTTCATATGATGACATTGGTTGGGGAAAAAGAAATATATGAGATACATAGTAACACTGGCTATTTATAAATGTTTATAAACTGTTCAGCTTCATAGAAGCCGTGGGTTGTGTTCTGTGGTATTTTTTTTCCCTTCACTTGTAGATTCTCTCCAGGCCAAGTTGCACAGGCTTTAAGCTCTCCTCAGAAGTTTAGAGGGGTGCGGGGGGGGGGGGGGGGGGGGGGGGGGGGGGGGGGGGGGGGGGGGGGGGGGGGGGGGGGGGGGGGGGGGGGGGGGGGGGGGGGGGGGGGGGGGGGGGGAGAAAGATTGGATGTATCCATTTGCATAAGTGTTGGATACATCCTAATTAAGAATCTGCAGGAAATTGTAGCTGAGGTTAGGGGTATTCCCATCTGTTAAGTATAATTATTAAATCTAATAATGTCATTGTTTTGAATTAAGTTTTATAGATGACAAGCCAGATTAGACCAATGCTCTTCATAAATATTAAGGAACTACCTCCTAGGTTTGGAAATATCATTTGCTTTTTAAACTTTTGTATCAGTAAACTGTCAGTTGCCATATGGTTGTCCCAAATTATCTAATATGATTTTTTTTTTAATCCTACTTAATTTTGCCAACATTGTTAGAAGTAGAATAAAATAAACAATTGTTGGAGCTAGTCCATTGTATCTGGAGATTGGCTGAGTTGACAGTGTGATGTGGAGTTGGAGAGATGCTGGCTCTGAAAATCCATCTAGGAAAGAGCCTAACTGGTCCAGCTTTGCTTTAAAATAATTCTAACTGGGTGCCTAATTTGAAACTTCTTTAAAAAATCAAGAAAAATTTGCTAAGAAAAATTGAAATCGATAGTCTAGTGTACTATTTTTTTTAATGTGCATATTAATAGGTAGTATAATTTGAACATTGGTTTATAAGTAAATACTGTCTTAATACAAATCAAGAGTATGAGTAGGCAGTGCACATGCCTGTAAAGTATAGATATACTTACATAGAAATGAACTGGGCAATTCTAAATGCTTACAGTAAGCACAATGCTTTATTTGATGCCTGAATACTAGGAATTTCCAAAGCAAAGCCATAATCAAGTGAGTAGAACAGTGGTTTATCGTAAGTAAGCACAATAATATAGCTAATTTTTACTGATTCCCTTTTGGGGATAAAACTCAGGCTTTGTTCTCTCATTTTAAAATTTGTAGGACTTAAATATTGATTAATATGTTCCAAACATCAATACAGTTTTCTTGACAGTTGCAAATATTAGTTAGTGTAGTTAGGGCTGTGCTTCATATTTAAAAAAATGACCTGAATTCAAACATTTTGAATGTTTCATATAGGGACAGTGGGAACTTCTAAGGAATCCCTTGCTTTGTTGTGTTTGTTTCTGGATTACAAAAATAGATGGGTTAATCCATGGTGAGAGCTAGTGACCATCCAGACTTAAGAAAAAGTACACATGCTTTAAAAAAAAAAAAAAAAAAAGATTTCCCACAGCAAACAGTGGACAAAACAATTAGGCAAAGTTTGCAGTTTTTTTCGAAAAACAGAATTTAGGACAATATGTTAGCTATAAGCATTAATTTAATTCAGTAATCCAGACCATAAACAGATTAATTTATTATTCTCAATATACTTTTATATTAATATAGTTCTTTGATTGGTGACTTCACAAGTTTGCATAGTACAGTTTTTTGTGTAGTTGCACTGTCTACAAAGCTCAAAAACAAAATAGCAAAACTAGTATGCATATGGGCAATCTACCTAGAAAGAAAATGAAACATAAACAGAACACATGGTGCAACAATGTTATATTACAACTTTTGACTGCTAGCTTCCTGTAGCAAAGTATTTAAAAATAATAAGCAAATTTATGTGCCAAGGAGATGTTAGTCTTTTTATCCCTAGAATGGTTCTAAATCTTGGAATAAGTTCTTGAACTGGCTCTAAACCCAGTTTTAAAAGATTAACTGTCTCTTGGTGGGATTGCAGCCTGGATCTGTGAGCCCTTCTATGGTTTATGCTTTTGCAATTGGCAGATAAGTAGTGTGTCAGTCTTCCCTGGCAATTCCATCGTGTTGATTCCACCTCTCTTTTTAAAAGTGCATAGTTATATTCTGCAAGGCATTTATGGATTATCTATTATAAGCACATTGTACAATACTTTTTAATGAGAATAAATTGTATATAGCTAGTGATTCTTGAAAATAATGCTATTTACTATCTCATCAACATTTGATATTTTGAGGGGAAAAACATTCTAAGGTCTGTTTTTAATGTTTGCTAAGAATTTTAAAAATAATTTGCATTAAAATGTTTGAGAAATAGTTTTGGTAGGCCCAAATAATTTTTTGCTATAATTTTTAAAATCAGTAGTGGAGCTCCATGAAGAATGCAGATACATTTGCAGCTTTGTGAAAAACTAGTTCGGTTGATGTTATAAGTGACTGAGATTTACAACTAGTTAATTTGAAAATGTCAGCTGAAATTAAACAGCATAGTGTGGGTATATGGCATATAAAAAGCTAACATCTTAATTCAGAAATGTACCATCCTGTGGAGCAGATACAGGAACCTGTGGTCTTCCACATGCTACATTCATGCTTTTGTGGCCCTTTCTGATGCATCTCTGTTTGGTCATTGCCACAGTGAAAATGTTTTGGATTAGCTGTGAAAGACTAGTTGCTCGCTTCATTCTCTTACTGCACAGCATAAGCTTCAGCTGGGTCAAGGGTTGGAAGACAAGGACATTGAGAAATTAGTTAACTCCAGAACTGAGAGATAAACCGACCAAATCCCGTATTTATAGCATTCAGAATTTCAAGATGTTGTGTTGGGGGAGGATTTATACAGGTTAATTAAGATAAGATAGGAAAAGCACAGGCATCTTACCAAAAACAAATTAGTAAACAAATATTTCCTAACCCACCTTTGATTGCTGCTCTTTCATTATGAGTTAACACCACTTTAAAAAAAATAGTCCAGAATCCTGCTCCCTGGAGAGAAAGAAACAATTCCCAAACATGAACACAGATCTCAGCTGCCAAGACCAACTTGCAAAGGAATGAAATACTGTGTGTTCAAGTCAGAACTAGGGAGGAATATATTCCTTTTCAACCAAGGTCTCTCTTCACTCACATGATTGGCCATGCTGGCTGGAACTGCTTGGATGGTTGCAGGTTTCCTATGCCTACTGTTATGCATACAGTACTATACAACCTCTTTGCAGTATAAACTATGTTTGGAGGAGTGGAGCAGGGAGAAAATTGGCACTGTTAAAGCTATACGCTTTGTTGACAGTAAAAGAATACATTTTCTTACATGCTTATTGACTTAAATTGATTTCCACATCCATCTGTATTTATCCTTTCTTAAGACTAAGGATCAGTTTTAATTTACTTACAAAAAATTAACTGCAGTTAATGAGAGGGGTAAGCAAGACAGAAAACCTTGGGAGGGTCGGCAGTTTATGCACCCATGGTATAGAGAGATAGAATCCAATTTATCTAGACCTCAGTTACCATTTGTAATAAATTGGGAATTAAGATGGCTTGATACAATTGACAACATTATAACATTATACAGTATAACATTTTCACATTTATTTTTATTCTAAGAGTTAGTAATTTTCTGATCAGATCACATGAAATACACATTATACTACACATAATAGTTCTATCACATTAAACTATAAGAGAGATGCAAGGTAGGCTTTGTGGCTTTCATAACTGGATTTTTAGTAACACCAGTTCGTACAATATTCCATATAATGGAATAATATACAGAAGTATTATTTTAAATTGTGCTTGCCTTAAAAAAAATGAATTAGATGTTTGGTTCAATTTGTTTCCAGCAGCAGCAGCAAAAAAAAAAAAAAAATGCTGGGAAAGAGGGAAACAGGTAGAGAATACAATCTGATAATGTAGTGAGGTTTTCAAAGGTTGTTTGTTTGTTTGTTTTTAAGAGTTTTTATCAGTTCAGAGGTGGCATTGGATCACCTACAATACCACTTGTTGATGTCTGTGGAATCCCAAAATAAAGAATATTTCTAAATACTTCATGATTGCAGGCTTGTTGAAAAGCTCATAAGAACTTGAGAGAGGTATGGGAAAACTTGAAATACTGCAACATTTATTTTCATATTTTTGGAACTTGCAACATTATGCAGTACCACATAACCAGTCCCTGGTCCGTTTTTTTTTTTTTAAACAAAGTAAGGTGGAATAAATGTTAAAAATGGTGGCAGAAGCTTTAATTGGGTAGGCTAGGGCAAAGTTAATGGAGGTTGGCTGTTTTGTTGTATTTCTGCTACCAAGCATGATTTATTGACCATATTTAAGTGATTGTCCTCTGAAGAGTCAATGCTCATGTAATGTGCTTCTAAGTCTTTCAGGCATCACAGTGTATCTTTACAAAGCTCTGTTATGAAAGGTTCACATACAAGAGGACAAAATATACTCCTTTCCTATTCCAATTGTAACTATTGTACTGCTTGCTTGAGAACACTTAGGTATAACTTGGATGTGCTCTGGTTGTATGGATTTCAACTCCCATTGTTCACAGCAGTGGCCTTGCTTTCTGGGAAGTTCTAGGAGCTGAAGTGTATCCAGATAGGAAAGGCTGCTCAAAAATAATGCTGTTTTCTTTTTAAGGATAACAAAGTGTGATCGAAATTTTATAAATACTTGATAATATTTACATTTATTTTCCAAGACAACTTCCTATTAGTGATTTGAGTTCTTGGGTAGGAAGATGAAACAACTTAAATAATTTGTTCAAATGTTCCAGTTCACTTCTATTTCATTGCACTTGAAACAATAATAATGAGCGATGTTAATTCATATGAAGAATTGGATATTTTACATGTATCTTAGGTAGGAGATTTTTGGCCATAGTAGCCCTGTGTGGATATAGTCATGCTAGGAAAGAATCTTCTTGCTTGTTCTCTTTTCCAGCATAGTTAGCTGGTGGCCCACCAAACAGCTAATCCTCTTCTGCAGTGTGATGAGAGATGCCTGGGATAAAAACACTGCACATTGACAATTAACAATCTCTGTTCAATGTTTGTGTTATTGTTTAGGTAGCTACTTTACCCAACCTGTTATGCCTATGTGTATGTATTTGATTTGATTAATACATTTGATCACAGTTCCAACTATGCAGACATACAAATGTTTCAAATTATTACCATTATATTTTAGAGTGGCAAAAACATGTCATGTTTTCTAATTGTATTGACAGTGTGTATTATTTTCAAAAGAAAAATAAGCCAGTTAATATTCAAGATGAGCAAAAGGGAAGTGATAATGTGTTTTTGCTCTGATGTATTTTCTGATGATGTAACTGTTTTGTGTTTATTAAGTCTTTGAGCAAATTGAGTTGGAACATTGGCAGTGACTTTGCTAACAAAATATTATCTTGACCAAGTAGAGTGTTCACTAGTGTTCAGGGAGCTGTTGAATTTGAGATACAGTGGAAGATAACCAGGGCAGCATGTGCAGTACTGGTTGAATATTTGTACTTTGAAGATAAACTGCAGTTGAAAAGCAAGATATACGTTACAAAGTTACTGTGCATTTTCCTGCAAAACTTTTCCTGAACCATCACAGGTTCTTTTTTTTTGCTCATGTTCACCATTACCCTTTCCTTTGTATTTTTTTCAGCTTTGTAATACCATAATATACTAATTCTCTGCTTGTGCTCAGTATGTGCCCTTTTTCAAGTGGTGCTCTTCCAGCTGGTCCTACTGTGATTGCAGTCTCCAGTAATAGCCAGTCACTATCTAGGTCAGGTGAGGACTAGGGATGTCAGATAGTTCAGAGCAGGTGTGCACACTACATCTGTTTGTGCTTCCTTAAAGGGATTGTATCTTTGGAGTCATATGCATTTGACTTAAGGAGGTATTGAGAGTGTACCCATATCTGCTCCAGAACACTTTGTCACATCCTGTTGGTACTTCTTTGAAAGCCTATGTGTGCTACATTAAGAAGAAAATATGTAAGTGATAGATTGGAGTTAACATAGAAGGCCAAAGCCTGGCTACATAACAAATTGTGTATCTAGTAAGTAGTGAGAGCATGTGTTGAGCTGGAACTCCATCTGGCTGCAGCTTCTTTAATAATTCACATGCCTAGAGCATATTGGCATGAAATTAATGCTTATGTGGACATATTTTTTTAAAAATAAGCAAACAGTAACTGTGCTGCCCCAGAGAACAAAGAGTAACCTTTACTCTAGCATAACAGATCTTTCTAAAATTGTTGTCACTCTTGTAACCAATTTTTTGCATAATTAGAAAAAAAATAATCTTTGCATAAGAAAAAAAAATATTGGAAGATGTGCCGTTATTCCTTCAGGGCACCAACACATATGTAGTCATTAGAACTGTTAAGTTTATAGTTAGGGCTGTCTACTGAGAACACATTTTATAGAACACATTGGGGTTGTGTGTAAAGGTGATGAATTCACCTAAACTCATACTGTTCTGTATTTTAATATTCATCTTATTTTATATTTCTGCATTCTATTTTATCTTATACTATTTTATCTCACTCCTTTATCTTGATTTTATCTTACCTTACCTCAACTGTATATCTTACCTTAGTGTATCTTATCTCATTTTATTGTATCTTATTGTGGCTGATGCCCATTACTTTGATATGATCAATTGACTAATCAGTAAAGTTATACTACTACTACTACTACTATATTATTTTAATAATAATATGCAGCTAAATAATTAATTTTTCTGTATTTTTCTTGGAATCAAACAATTTCCTGAAGTAATGCCTTACATGTTAATTCTGAGATACCCATCAGTTGTGAATTTAATCATTTTACTGTTGCATAGAGTGAAGATAGTCCAAGTCCCAAGAGACAGCGCCTTTCTCATTCAGTCTTTGACTACGCAGCAGCATCACCAGCCCCATCACCACCAATGCGACCATGGGAGATGACATCAAATAGGCAGCCTCCTTCAGCTCGACCAAGCCAACATCACTTCTCAGGGGAACGATGCAACACACCTGCGCGCAACAGAAGGAGGTTAGCTTTTCTTGAGGACAGTCATATTCTTGATTTAGAACATAGTTTTTGAAGTATCAAATTAAAATTATTGTTATATAGTAGTGTATAGCAGAGAATCACTTCAGAGTTTAATGCTAGGGAGTCTTAATTTTATGAAATTCATGAAGTGTATGCCAGAAATACATTTTAGCATTTTACAGTGGTACCTCAGGATACGAACTTAATCCG